CTTCATGCATTACGGATAGTACTGGGCACTTCCACAACATACAGACCACTGCTTCGTCGAGTTGCTACCAGCTTGGACTTGCCGCTGGTAATCACGCATCGCTCATGATCAAACGTGGCCGCAAGCCCTGCAGTTCCGACCTCGCTAAGACTGACGAGATTGTGTTGCAGCCCAGGCACAAACAGGACGTGATCCAAAGTGCACATTCTGCCAGTAGCCAGTGGCAAGTGCGCTTTCTCCCGATGCGTCGCGTTTAGCTTCATCCCATTAGCCGTCGTAACGACAACGTTCGTGTCCATCTTGCTCAGACCAGACAGTAGTACACGCGCGCCCGTCCTGTGACTCGATGCGCCAGAGTCGATTATCCAGTCGGCTCCCACTGAGTCCGAGACAGAACTCACATGAAGACAAAACCGCTCTCTGCGCCACCGCTGTTACCTTGGCTGTTGTTCCCACCGCCAGATGCACCGATGAGTCGCTTCTTCGCCTTGCATTCGTTCTTGAAGTGACCACGCTTCCCACAGTTGAAGCATTTACCCTTCTTCACACCTGGCTTCCCGTGGGTGGCCGCCGTAAAGGCACTACCGCCACGCACTGCTGGGGCACCACTCCGCTTTCCACGTTGTGTTTGAGTCGCACGGCGCCTTGCCTCGGCGGCCGCTTTAATCAGAAGCTCATCGAACGTAGTGCATGTCTCCAGTGAGCTTATGTAGCCATTCCAGTCGGGCCCAAGGCTTTGTAGAAAGTTACTCTTCTTCTCAGAATCACTGAGGGATACCTTATAGCACTCCAATTCTGCCAACATCAAGCGGGTTTGCCTGATGTGCTCCAGCGTGTCACCACCGACATCGATGTAGAGAGCCAGATACTCTCGCTTAAGTGATCCGACTGTCGTGTCGCATACATGGCGACACGTCTTCTGCTGCGCTTTCAGCATGGCTTGCGGATGCGGTGAGTCCGCTACCAACGCGGCTTGATCCTCAGTTAGCGCCGACAGAATGATGGTCATGGCGAGTTTCTGCTGCAATTGCAGCTGATGTAGCGGTCGCTCCCTCTGCTGTAACGGACGATCAGCTTGGCCGGTCTCCTCATTCTCGAGTTGCAGCGATGTTGGTGCCGGCTCCGACACAGCACCCCATACAGCCTTCACTTCCAGATACAGCTGGAGCTGCCGCGCCCAGACGCGGTATCCCGTTCCGTCGAACTTGCGGAGCTTGGTCGTGAAGGCGGTCGTGGTGTTGGCGTTGGCACTCATAACCTTTCGGATAGATAGGAACTTGATATGTGAGTCGAACCCGGAAAATGTGAAGTGAGTAGAATTGAGAGTTATGCAAAAGCCGTTGAGCGGCCGCTTCCTGTGTGCAGCCCTCGAGCTTCCTGTCCAATGCCTGACCTCCTTGAAGCTGAACTACGCGTTGCACTAGACGGATGACGCAGATACCGTAGTACGTCAAGATGACGCGTATCCAGTTGCACTGCATGTGCCGCACTGTGCTTACAGAGTAGCACGTTCCGACAAGTTTATTTATTCGTTTAATGAATTTACATGTTAATTGTGGCGATTTAATTTTTCTTGTGTTATTTGCACTTGTGATGAGAATTGTTTGCCATCTTCTTGTTTTTTTACTTTTTGTTGCAAATATCTTCTTTACGTTAGAAAACGAAATTTGAGATTGAATTCCTCATTTTTTTGTTTACAGTTTCGTGAAGTATCTTACTTCGTAGTACAAGTTATCCGCTGTTTTATTTTTTCAATTCTTGTGCAAGGTAGCCGAAATGTGAGATGTTCATTTTTGACCTCATGGTTCTTTGTCTGATGCGCTGGATTCCACCTGCTTTCTTTTTGAATCATTCTCCACATCAACAACAATCTCCGTGTACGCCTCAGATTCATCTCCTGTCTCGACTGCTTCTGCAACGGTGGCTGGTATCGCCAACAAAGCGGGAGCATTTGACATCATGTCGTTCTTTGCCTGCGCGCGCTTCTCCCAGGTGGCAGCATTCTGTCGAACGTTCGTGATCACTTCGTCAAATCCTGTTAAGGGAAGAACGTCACGTGCCGCATTATACAGAGGAAGCACCACAAATTCGAGAAAGCCAATCTGGTTTTTCTCGAAACGCTCAACCCCTGTATCGTGGTCACAAAGAGGTGAAATGGCCAATCCAAATTGCCGTTCTGTATCACCCTGCCGATAGAATTCTTCTGCTACGAGCTCCGACCACGCCAAATGAAGCGGAAATGACTTCATTGCGTGGCCTACATCAGCCATCATGATGAGAGTTTGAAGTACCAACTCATCAGGTAGCAAAAGCCCAGGTCCACTACTTGGATCACTCGATTCTGACGTAGGATGTACTGCATACAACTTGCTCTTTAGACGATTTACGTGCGTGAGGTGGCCACTTAGATCTGTAGCAAGCACCATGGAGATAATTTGTAAGCGACTCTGTCGACGTAGATC